TTTTCGTGGAATTGTTGGTTAGTTTTTCATGAAACTCAGAATCCTAGTTGTGTAGATTTGTTTAGTTCATGAATTACACTTGCTAGATCAGTTTATTCAGATATACATGCCTCAGTTAAGAATGTTTCATTATCAATATATTAATGTTGCATTTTCAGTTAGCATGTCAATATTTTGAGCTATTCAGTATTACAGAAATTCAATTATAATGTGTTACTTACATAATCAGTTGGGAGTAGGCTTAATACCGAGTGGACTGAGGGTCAGTCACCCTCATAGTCCCAGAACTATGTGCCTCCATAGGGTAAGTTCCCTATGTGGGCAACATTTTAGTGATCATGTCAGTCATGCCTTTATACCCTTGGCAAGGTATATTGCGTCCTCTCAATGGGGCGATACATCGGACTCCACGGATAGCTCTCGTGGTTTTATGTTGGTTAACAGTAGCTCCCACAGTCAGATTCTAGTGCATTGACCAGGTTATCAGTTATAGTTCAGTATTCAGTCTCAGCATGTCATATACTTCGTCATTGCATTCAGTTAGTTAGTATTCAGTATATTTCAGTATTTACTTCATGTTTAGATTATGTCGTTGCTCTTATTGCTTTGTTCAGTTATGTATATATTTTTCAGTTTTATCCTATCATGCATGCTTAGTACCTTTCAAGTACGGACGCATACTCTGCGCTACATCTTCTCGTGATGTAGGTTCAGGTCCTCAACATTCAGATCATGCATAGATCGGTTCCCAATCTCCAGTTTAGAAGCATCAGTGGTGAGTCCTCATTCTTCGAGGGCGATTGACATGTTATCTTCTTATTTTCAGTCTTTCAGTTTTAGTTTTGCTAGAAGTTAGTTGGAGGCATGTCCCAGAAGCTCTAGTTAGTTAGAGGCTTTTATTCAGACATAGTTAGATTCAATTTTAGTTTCGAGTTTGATCTCTCAGTTGTTATTGAACTCTCTGTTTGATATATTTAGATTTAGAATAGGTATCCCCCATCATTTCCCTTTATGTCATGTTTAAGCTTCTGCATAATATTTCTTATCTCAGTTTATCTTAGTATGCTTATGATATGCCAGCAGGGTTAGCTTGGGTCACTCGTGATCCTAAGTCCCGTGTTTACGTCCTAGGGGTAGCCTCGGTGAACGACATTATTAGATTATTTGTTTAATTCATTATTGATATAAGTTTAATTCACTTTATAGATTGTCTGGTCTTTCATTAGTTACATTTTTATTCATGGCTAATTCTCTCTTCTAATTCAACTTTAATATTTGTGTAATACACTTTCAAATACAAGTTAATTCATTTTGCAGTTTATTGGTTGATTTGTTAGGATTGAATTACCTGTTTAATTCATTATTGATACACATTTTATTTAGTTTACATATTACAAAATGTTCTTTCATTTGCTACATTTTGCATTAATATTTAATTTGTTTTTAATTCAACTTTAATATGTGTGTAATACATTTTAATTCAAGTTTAATTCATTTGACAGTTTATTATGTTTCTTCATTTGTTACGATTAGATTACTTGTCTAATTAATTATTCATACAAGTTTTATTCAGTCTATGAATCATTGACTGCTCATTCGTTTGCTACATTTTGCATTCGTGTTTATTTCTCTTCTAATTCAATTTTAATATGTGCGTAATACATTTTTAATTCAAGTTTAATTCATGTAGTTTGTTGGTGATGCTTCGAAAAAAACATGACTAATCTGATCGTACTGCTTTACTTCAATATGTAAGACATGTATAATACATATGTTATTCATTAAGAACATGAACTCATGAATTATAGTGATTGGCAACTTAATTTCTAGGGACAAATAGAGAAAGAATGAGCTCAAGAATTCATTCTCCCTTTTAGAGGCATAACAAACTGAATGTGTGACTGAAGATTGTGGATCTTTCAATTGCAGTTTTAAAAAATTGACACCTTGCACAGGGAGGCAAAAAAAAAAGAGAAAGAGGGGACAGAGAAAAAGGAGAAAGAGGCTAGACAAAAAATAGAAATCTAATAAAATACTACATAGTATTGTTATGTATTGTTATATATTGCTATAAAAAGGTAATAATTAGAGAGTATATTTAAAATAAGTAATTATTTTTTTAAAAAGGCCACCCACGTAATTATTCCTTAAAGGTATTTGAATCTTCTTTCCAACGCCACCAATTTCGCGTCAATCCGAGTTTCTACTCAAAGGTTATGACCATTTTAGTAACCTGATACAGTGTAGTGACGAATTAGCCGACGGAAAAACATTAAAAAGGGTCGTTTTTGTCTTTTTACCTCTAAGAAAACCCTACATGAATTTCTTGACTAATTAAAGGCTCAAAACAATCAGATTTTCATCTCTTAATCCCCTATTCTCTTCTCTCTCAAAACCCTAAGGTAAAACCCTAACGAAAAATCAAAGTAGAAGACTACATTCAAGATTCTTTCACTCTTTTTCAAGATTCTTTTTCAAGGCAAGTTTTTCTCCAAGAATTTCATTCTTCCAACTCAAATTCCTCCATGCAATTATGAATCAATGAAAATCATAATTCTTGGACATAGAGATTCCAAGAAACTAATTCAAGAATCTCAAGAAAGGTTTTCTTGATTGTTCTCCTTCAAGCTAGGGTTTCAAGGCTTCTATTCAAGTTCTTTTTCAAGATTCTTCAAGAACCTTGTTCTTTTAGGTATGTAAGACTATCATAGTGTTGGACTAGTTCATCAGCATACCCTACATCTACTTTCAAATTAGTAAAAGAGTAATCTAGGATTCTATCCCTAGATTTGAGTATTCATGAGATAAGTTGATTTTGAGTTCTTGAGTTCCTATTTCTTTTTTAAAATTCTATTACTAATTATTGAATTGCTATATGTTATGCATTAATATTCTTGAGTTGATTCGTTCATGTCTATATTTCTACATGAACCCTATGAATTGAGTATTTTTTAGATGAGTAGAATCGTTGAGTTCTGAGTTTTTGAGTTCTGAGTACTGAGTTTTCATATTGCCATTAAGGTCCCTGAGTTAACGTTGATTCGTTCATGTTCATAATTCCGCATGAACCCTATGAATTGAGTTATAAATCTTGAGAAGGTTTTTAAAGCCAACACTTGAGTTTTAAACTATATTTTAAGGAAGTAAAGACGAGTTTTGAGAAAGAGTTTGTAAAACATGATTAGTATGACAATCGAGTATGACATCAATGTCTAACCAGTATGGTATTTAGTTATGCCATCAATGTTTATGCAGTATGACTTCCCGAGTCATCAATGATCATATCACAATATGATTTTGATATATTTTTGAGAAAGAGTTTTCAAATATGAATTGAGTAAAAGTATAAGGGAACTAAGTATTCCCAAAGGTATCAGTTTGTACATTGATAAAGAGAAACTTTGATTTCTAAATGAGTTATGAGTTCAAAGATATTTCAAGAGCAGATACCTCTTTTAAGAGGATAGATTGAGCAATTATCTCAAACTAGAGGAAGAGTATGTTTTAAACATTGAGCATGAGTATATATGATTGGGAGTAGTATCGAGCACCGAATTGGGTTAGAGTCTTTTATGATTTGAAAGTCCTATAAACTACGTAGCCAGCGTAGGATAGGATATTAATAGTAGTCATGCACCCAGTAAGTTATTAATGGTGAGTTTTTTTCCTTATAGGTAGACTAAGAAGTAATGAGTTTGTGAAGATTTCATGATAGAAGGTAGAGTAATAGTTACTAGTAAGGATAAGTTAGAGTATACTTTAACTAGAAAGAAGTTTATGATGAGGTGTCAATGCATTAGTATCGGCCAAGTATAATGGTTCAATAAAAGAGCCGAGTATTCGTGTTGTGATAGGTTTTATCTAGGCTTATGGTTTTTAAAAGGAGAGCCCTATGGTATTCAGAGTATTATAGAACTAATTAAGTAATGATGTATAGTAAGTGGGTAAATAGTACTTTAAGTTGTGAAAGAAATTGTCGATAATATGTAAATAGGTAGAATGAACATAGAGACTGACTAGTTGTCATGAAGTCTTAGTGGACGAGTATTTCTTAATTTTATCTATTAGTAATGAGTTAGTATAGTATGTAGTATGTGAGCAATTATATTGATATTCGTGATTAGTATTAGTATAGTATGTGAGGAATTATATTGATATTCATGTTTAGTAATAGACACTACGCTTGAATTTGAGATGAGTGTCGTGGTCAAAAAGATGGCAACACGAGGGTTATAATGTTAGTTTTGAGATCTGATATGGTAGACTTGACATAGAGTAGGTGAGGAATTAAGATGTTAGCTATAATGAATATGAGTGGTACAAGAGTGAGATTCTTAATTTTAGATGATAGAAATGAAGTATGACTAAGTCACTAGATTAACAAGAGTTTTAAGAGGTGTACCCGAGATCGTATGTAGTCAGATGAGGTTCTTATCAAATTTATGAGTTTTCATGTGTGCCTAGATAGTATATTTGAGCTATCAATATAGATTAGGATGATATAAGAATTATTTTTCTTTAAAAATTAGATGAATCGACATTATAAGCTAACGAGAAGAGGTTAAGAGAAGCATCTTAAAAAGAAGTCTTAGAAGGAATCTTAGTACCTAATATATATATATTGATTTAGTATCAGTTAAGCAAAATTATCAGACTAAATGATATTAATACAATATATGATACTGGTTTAGTATTAATTAAGCAAAATTAGTTGGAGTATATAGTGTAATTATTTAGTTGGGATAAAAATATAATTGGTTACATAATTGTAATTATTTTGCTTAGTTCCCCAAAAAAATTAAAATGGGGTGAGTTCATTGCAGAAATTTCAAAGCTGCAGGACCTATCTGTAACCTTTCCAATTGTCATGTGGTCCAAATAAATAGTTCATAATACAGCACTGTAACTGGCTCTGGTGGCGCTCAACTGTGGTATCTGTCCTGCCGTTTCCCGGAGAAAAGTCATCGGAGTTTATCAGGACAGCAAACACTGGAGGTATATTCGTGTTTCAATGTTACAGAGGCGGTTGATTTGCTCGAGGATTTCGAATACCGTTGTCCAATCAAACCCCGGACATAGCCAGAGCAAATGGAATGTAAAGCAAGTTACAAAATCCAACTTCTCAGCGGCACTTGAAGAGATAAGCAATTGTATTTCCGACTCTGATTTCATTGCTGTCTCATTGAAGAATACCGGAGCCTACTCTGCACCCTGGCAACGTATTATGCCTATTGACACCGCCCACACCGCCTATCTTAAAGCCAAATACGCCGCCGAACGGTTTCAGGTCCTTCAGTTCGCCGTTTGCCCCTTTTCCATAAAGGGTTCCAAGCTCATCGTGCACCCGTGCGTCACCTTCAACTCACTCATTTAATTCTTAATTTCAATTCTTAAGATTGTGTTGTGTATAAATTTCAACTAATGTTCTGTTCAATCACAAGTCTTGGGTTCAATGTTTAGATGGTTTAAAATTGTATATTAAAAAGCTATTCGGTTTGCTCAAGTGTGTAAAGTATCTTCTTCTATTGAAGAAGTACCTAGTTTTATGAGGCAGGATATTGGAGGTGGACGGCAGGGTTGGTTCTAATTTTTTAATTGTCAAATATGCTTCTAATGCTCAAATTCTTACTGAAAATGTGGTGTTCACTCTTTCTTGTGTTAGTTTGGTGCTGATGTAAGTGGCAATTTCAGATGAAGGTTTAGTTGCTATATTTCTAACTAATCATTTTGTCTGAGAAAGGGAAACATGAGACATGAATGACAAGTGTTTTGTGCTTTTTGTGCAGATACAACTTTCATTTGTTCCCTCGTGATGAGTTAAAAATAGGGATGCCATCTTATAGTTTCTCTTGTCAATCATCATACTTGACCTCTATGGCTCAAGAAGGTTTTGATTTCAATGCCTGCATATATGATGGTAAGCTGAGCTGGACTGGTTTGAAATGTAACTCATAACTGACATGTTTCTGTTATTTATTTTGATGGTTAATCTATTATTAGAATCCTTAGGTTACCTGCCAAAAACAAATGTTCAGTGGCTTTAGCAATGACCAAAGCACCTATACCCAACATCCGTTATTGGAATATAGATATGTATGGCAAGGAAAAATCTCTCTAGTTGCTGCTCCAGCTGCCTCATTCTCTATGTAATCACGTGCAAAGAACAAGTAGCAGATGCTAATAATGAAAGGAAATATCTTTGCTCAAGTTCTAGAATTGAAGTGCCTTGAAACATAATTCTTCTACCTCAATCATTTTGTTTTGAATCTTATCAGTTTTATTTGACAGCTGAGATTTTTTTTTAATTTAAAAAGAACAGTTCTATTTTTACACTTTTTCTATAGTAGATGCTATAGTTTTCTCTTGCATACCTTTAGCTGGCTGAGTAGCTTTTGCCTGAAAGCCGAAGTAACCTTCCTGCACCCTACCTTTCTTGTTCTGACAGGCATATCATATTTATCCAAATCACAAGAATCAGCTGCAGTAGATAGAATTGGAAATGCATCACCTATAATCTGTACAGTTCAAACTCCATCAGGATATACAGTTGCTGATTCTGTATTTGCAGAAAGGATCAAATCTCGAGTTAAGAATTGGATAACTGCTTGCAAAGACACAAACAAGAAGCCTGAAGGTGAGCAGAATTATCTTTGTCAATTCAACTCTTCTTTGCTCTCTTTTTTATACTCATGACGTCTTGCAGATGCTCTAATCAGTTCCTTGAGAAAAATTGTCACGGGAGATGACGTATATGGATCCAGACCTTGCTTGAGCATAGATGTCTGCAGTGAACGTCAAGTGCGTCTTGTGATGGAGGTGTCTATCTTTTCTTTCTTACCTTTTGAATTGTGCTCTTGAATTTTCATAGAAACAAAACAAAACAAAAAAAAGCCGAAGCTAAAGATGCTGTTTATGGTAGCATACAACAACAACAACAACAACATACCCAGTGAAATCCCACTAGGTGGGGTCTGGGGAGGGTAGAGTGTACGCAGACCTTGCCACTACCTCGTAGAGGTAGAGTTTATGGTAGCATACAATGTTCCAAATTTGATTATGTCCTGAAGAATGATGCCTATAGAAATTAATTGTTATCAATGTTAAAGGTCCTGTATATCCCATTACATGGAACAAAAAATCACTTAATTTGTTCTAGCTGATATTTATTAAACTTTTCTGTTGGGCCAGACACTGAAGAATTTTGTTGACGTCATACCTTTGCTAAACCCAGCAAAGGGAGGAACAATAAGGCCTGTTCGAGTTGTTTTGACAAGTTCAGAAGAAGACAGGATTCTTTTACAGGTAATAAACTAGCTTACGAACTTTGGTTTAGCTGCTTGTTGATGATTATCTTCTCCTTCTATGAATATTGCTTTGTACTCACAGAAGGAACTTCAAAATGAGGAGAAGGAGCATAATAAACGCCTCCGTGGCTTTCGAGAGGTGATCGATTTGATTTCCGCTTCTCAGAAACCTGTTGTTGCCCACAACTCTCTTAATGGTCAATCTCTATGTGGAAATTTTTTGCTCATGTTAGAATGTGGTGACCATGCTTGTTATGTTATTTAAACATTTTGCATTTTATTTGGCAGATTTTACTTTCGTTCATTCCAAGTTCTTAGCTGCATTGCCATCAACGCTGGAAGAATTCAGAAGTTCATTATCTTTGGTCTTCCCGAATGTACTTGATGTCAACCATCTTATGAAGGAAATCAGCCCTCAGACAAAAGTGAACAATTTGCCTGCATGTATCTCATATTTGAAACAACGGTTTTTTGCCCCTATTGATATAGAGATACCTAACCAAGGCAAGTACCCCTGATATCATGAGGCGCATGTTAGATAACGTATTTCCAGCTTTCGTTACAATGTGGTTATGCTTAATAACTTGTGGGTCGTTTGGTTGCCGATCACAGAGGAGTTATCCATCTATTAAAACTAGCATAACTTTATACTCCTTTCATTTCAATTTGTTTGTCCTGTTTTGACTTGCCATGGAGTTTAAAAAAAGTAAAGAAGTTTTTTGAATCTTGTGCTTTTAAATTAAAGATATGTCAAATGTATTAAATTGCCCTTTAATCTTGGGGTCTTAAACATGCCATGTGAAAAGTTGGAACTAAAGATTTGCCAAAAAAGAAAAGAGTCATTCTTTTTTAAACATACTAAAAAAGAAAATAAGAACAAACAAATTAAAATGGGGGGAGTACTAGTATATTGTTTGGTTACAAAAGCAGGGCAAAATAATCTCCACATAGAGTCTAGCATAAGTTACAATGTAAGGTTGGTGTCTTTCTTTTCCACATCAAACATAGCATTGCTAATACATGTTTGGTTCATATTTTTCTTTTCCACATACCTAATGCATGCATAATTTATGAGGGAATCTATGTATTATTTATGTAGGGTAGAATATAGAATAACTAATATATGAATAACCGAATCCTGCATAACTATTTTGACATGATTAATCCTTGCATTACTAATACCTACAGAATTTATCCCTATGTAACTCTAAGTAGATACCAAACGCTCCCAACATGTTGCCTGCTGGGAAGTGGCAATATCCCTGTGAAGTTTTCCATCTTGATATGTTATTGCAACACTTCTGTGTTCACTACCTACTCCGTCCCCCAACTTTTAGATCTTTTAATTATGTTGCTGGCCAAGAAAAAAAATTATATATTGCTGACTGGACTAGATTAATTTTTTTTTGAGTCAAGAGTTTTTCAGAAACAACCTCTCTACCCCACAAAGGTAGGGGTAAGGTCTACGTACGTCTTATCCTCATCAGACTCCACTTGTGGGAATTCTCCCCAGACCGCACTTGTGGGATTACATTGGCTATGTTGTTGTTGTACTGGACTAGATTTTTTCTGGCTTTGCATGCAAATTTTGATTGATTTCTCTTATAATTGCTTAAATTAATTCTAACAGCTGAGGTGAATGAAGTGAAGACTCTTGGACATGATGCTGTGAAGATAAGCCAATTGTTCGCAAAGCTGTGCTCCATATTGAAAATTGCTCCAAGAACTCCTGAAGCTGCTGTGGGCCATTTGCCTGATGCAATTGAATGCTACACAAACTCGTACTGCCCTTGCTTTACCAGTTCTCATGGTCCCGCTGATGTAGATGTTAGTGTGAGGACTAACAATACTAGAAAGATCAGTAGTAAAAATCTAGTTTTCCTATGGGGATTCAGGGATGTTACATCTGCAGGAAAGCTGAAGAGCCTCCTATGTGGTTCACATGAAGTTCTCCATGAGTTTGATGTTAGGATGGTGGATAAAAGTTGTGCAGTGGTTGCTTTCAGGAATCCTGGTTTTGCGGAAGTCATGTTGCAGCTAATGGACTCTGGAGGAATTTGCACTAATATCCTGAAGGAGATGCTGGCAGACGGCCTGACAGCTGCAGGTTATGAGACCTACCAGAAAGTCTGTGAGTTGGGTCTATGGGAAGCAGATTTAGCAAGTTCCATGGGAAAGGCTTTGGAAGAAATTGAGAGCTTCTCAGAAACACAGTCGAAAGAGCTGTCAGGGATGTGTTGGAATGATGATGAAATGATTAACCTGGATGACCTTTAAGATGCTTCATAAATCTGAATCATGTATACCATTACCAAAGCCAAGACTGACTGATTTTAGTATGCCGGCTTTCATCATGTATGTTTTGTTGATTGTCCTAGTTGCTGCCATTAAAGATGTATGCAGGAATGAAATTGATAGTTGATGCATCAAATGGAGAGAGTGGCTTTTTGGTGGCTATCATGGCAAACTAAGCCATTGTATATAAGTTGACGTGTTCTCTTGGATTTATGGCATTTGCTTCTAAAGAAAATTACGTTTTAGCTGACAAGGAGATCGCGTCCTGTATTTTTTTGGACAATGAGATCAGAGGATAGCTGGTTTCCGGAGGATACTGAAGTAGAGTGGCATTATTTGGTGTATCGAAACGAAGAGATAATATTTGATATGGTCACTTCGCTAAGGGTAGTTAAATTCTAGACCCCTAATATTGTTTACCATGTTTTCAAGAAATTGGTTCACCCTCATTCTTGTATCATGAACTTTTCTGCTAAGGTGAGGTTGCTTTGAAGACTTTAATGTTTGTACTAACTCCACCCTTAAATTATGCTGCTAATTCAATGGCAAATATGGAGTGTGCATTGATCCAACCATTTAGGAATTCTATCATATTGTCAAGTTTGTTCCAATTGCATATCATTTTATGTCAAGAGGGAGGACATATAACATTTTGTAACTATCATTTCTTTGGTGACACAAATTATATGGGTCAAATATATATTTATCAAGACTCTTTTGTTTTAGAAAATTTTATGTGCATAATTGAATTTTTTTTACTGTCCATAAAATTTTATGTGCATAATTGAAATTTGCAGGAAAAAAAGTTTCCTACGGATTTTCATGCTAATCCCCAGGAAAATTCTCATGTAATTCACACTTTTCTTGTAGTTATGTTGCTACTTGAACACTTTAATCTTATTCTTAAATTATCACAAGTCATCATATTAGTCTCATATGAATTCTTCATGTGTTTTCCCCTTTTAGGGGATTAGGATCATAGTTATGGCCTTGTCCTTATTTTTATTTGTCCTAGTAAGTAATGATAGCCTTAATCTCCTAATCATGCGAGGTGGTGATGGTTATAGGTGCACAGCTTGATTGACCCCTACTCAAATCAATCTTGTGTTTGTGGTATAACTTAAGTATGCTTGGCATGGAAGCTATAGTAAATCTTGAGAAGCGATGACATTCCAAGTATGTACAAAGATTTTTCCCATCATGGCAAGAATCTTAAATGACCTCTCCTATTTATGAATTAAATTTATTTTCATGCCTCATAGTGTCTTGAACTGTCTCGGGCTAAACTTAACCATGATCATATCCCCAACTTCATAGTTTGTGGGTACCTCGTACATATTGACACTCAATTTTGGCTTCATACAATTATTTAACTAAAGTTTTAATAATAATAATAATAATATAATTATAATTATAATAATAATAATAGAATATATATATATATATATATATTTATATATTATGAAAATTTGTAGGAATACGAAAAGATTTTTTAATTATTTATTTTATTTAATAAATTTATTTCATAAATATTATTTTTTATAAAAAAAATTAAATATATTATATAAATATTACTACTTACTCTCTCATTTTTAAATTTCACGTCAAATAAATTTTTTTCTTAAGGGTTAACTCAATTTTTCTAATTAAATATAATTTCTATTATTGCGATAAATATTTTTCGACATTTTTTTAAAGTTAGGAAAGCTTAATTAATTAACAAGTTACTAATTTATATTAATTTTATTTTTAGAATGACTAATTTTATCAAATAAGCTAGTCTTGCAAAATAATTATTTTTAATTTAATAAATTATGGCTATCTAATAAGGAAGGTGTTATAATTTAAATGGACCCAATTTGAGTAAAAAATTTGGCAATCCAAGTCTTTTTAATTCAGCCAATCCGTGTGCGCCACGTAAGAAGCACATGGATTGTGCTTTTTCAGCTTAAATCTTGACCATCCGATTTAATCCAACAACTTTAATTAATTCATATTATATATATATATATATATATATTATTAATTATTTTAAACCCTTTATTTTATTAACCGTCCGATCAAACGATCGGACTACCGAGATCAAAACAAAGATTTTCCTAAACCTAAAAAGACCCCAGCACCTACAATCTTTCTCCTTCCCCAGAACATCTTCTCCATAGATGCCCAGGCGCCGCCCACGCTCTTTGCTCAGACCTCTATGCTAGCTGCGTCTTCTCCACAGACGCCTATGGCCGCCCCAAGTTCCTCTCGCATCACCGCCCCACGTGCTCCCCCATCCCCTTTGTTAGAGAAACAGCTCTAGACCGTCGAAAAAAAGCCCCATCAGTCACTCAATCCTCTCAAATCGACCTGAAAAGGTCGATTTTTGAGAGATTTTTCTTCTCCTTCATGATTTCTTTGTTGTTTCCTCTGAGAGTTGCGTTTCTAGGAATTCAAATTTTGAATTCTTGAAGCCCAAATCGACTATAAAAGGATGGACTTCGGGTCTAAAAAAAAAGTACATCCAGGAACGAGCAAGAAAATCCAATAACAAATAGACAAAGGGGACAAAAGCGACTTCTAGCATTAGATTTCAGAAAAATTCTATCTTCTTTCATCTTTTCCGTTTTCAGTGTTAAATTCGAGTTGGAGGAAGTCCTAAGTTGAATCTTGACGTCAAAGCTCTAGTTTGTTGCTCAACATAAGGTCAAAAAAAATAAAATTGAATCTTTATGTAATTTTTTTAGTTCATATGTTTATTTAATGATAAAATTAGATTTAGTTTTCTCTTTCGTCAATATTATTTTCTCCAGTGTCATTTTCGCTTCTTGTATATGGTATTGTTTCAGTGAATATGTGTATCGATGTTGTTGGGTTTGAACCCTGTAAGAATTGTGGCTTGTGTATTACTTCATATATACTTAGCCATAACTTCACATAGTTTTATTTTATTGCTTGTAAAATCGAGCTTTATTAGTTTCCTTGTCTAGCATGAAATAATTATATTTTTTTATTATTATTTTCGAAATGATATGAATTGTTCTTCTAGCATAACTTTAATCTCTTGATGTCTTGATCTCATCCTTTTTTCTTCGTTTAAAATCTTATGTTGTGTTAGCCTAAGTTTCAAAACTTAAGACTTGCGATCATTTCGAACTTATAGCTAATGAAGTTTTAATAGTTTTTGAGCTTAGAAGTGGATCTTGCTTATTTGCATTTATCTATATATTTTCTAATGTGGTATAAACTTTAGTTGAATGTGCTGAAAGATTTAATCGATTCAAGGCTGCTCGTTTTATTCCTCTTTAGAGTCATTTTTATCTACATGAAGCTATAACTTTGCTGCTTGTTAAGCCATAGAAATCCGCATCTTCTAGTGTGGTTAGTATAAATTAATTCAAGTTAAATCGGCTTAGAAAACATAACGCCTGCCCAGGTTACTGATTCTGAGTTCTACATATGAATTTTGCAAAATGTTTAGCTATCTTGATTCGTGTTGCTCTCTGACTATGTTGGTTGTTTGGAATTTTTGAAGCCTAAGGTGAAGTATTTACCTCTTGAGAGATCTGCATATATAGCTTCAAATTAAGCTAACTTTGGATTAGTTATTCACTAAAATGATCAGATTCAAGAGCCTTACACTTGCTGTTTTTTCTCTTTCTTTCTTATCTGATGTTATTTTGCGTTATAGTAGTGGTGTAACTCGTTCTATTACCATGGGAGCTCTTATTTCACACAAGTATGAATTGCACTTTGGCTAATCTTTTTTCATAAAGAGCTTGTGAACCAGGTTCTGCTTTTTTCATAATAAGCAGAACAGTAGCACTACATCTTTGACAAAAATATTTTAGTTGCTGTCTATTAGGAAGTGCTTATTGGTTAATTCTAATCTTTTATGTTTAAGGTTGATCAATGTCTATTCTATACATATACTCAAGCAGTCCCTGATCGCATATTAGTTCGAATAAGTTACATGAAGTACGAAATCTATTTTTTTAAGCATGATCAGTAACCAATTGTGGAATCATTGTAAAACTCACACATCGATATAGCTATCCAACTGTTTTTGTGTGCTCACTTGAAGGGTATTTTAAAGTCGATCAGCAACTCTCTAGATTAATTAAAGTTTGAAATACTAATTGCTTAAATGTCATCAAGAAACTGCCAGGATAGTATCATGCTGATGTTGCTGTTTCTGAGTATATTTTCTAGTATGTCTATGACTACATGATTCTTATTTTTTAATGTCTTCTGATAAATCTAAAGTCCACTTGCTAATTCTACGTCTTCTTTGTTTGTCATATGTGCACTCGGGAGCGCGTTTGGAGTTAGTATACAACTCCATCTCTGTCCAAATCAGAGAAGCGACTGATAGCCACAAAAGCTCATGTCTAGCAGCCTTTATCGTGTCGAATAGTGTCCATCGCTTCCTCTTTACTCCAAAGCTTCATATTTTCTTACATATACATTCACTTATAGTGTTGTCTTTCGACTAACATCTTACACATTAGTATTTCACTCTTATATAAGCTTACTTTTATTTTGTTTGAGTTTGTACGAATCAACTTAGAACGATGGTAAGGCGTAACTGCCCACCTCACTTCCCTTTAGATATTGGATTCATTATAGTTATTTAGCTTATAATAATATTTTTCAACTAAGTTTTATTTGTTACTTGACGTACTTTGCGGTTAAGAAAGCATGTCTTTTCAAAGAAGGGAACTAGGGAACAACCTTTTCAAAATGTTAAATTCCTATTTTCAGATTTGTGTTTGATAAGTGTTTAAAGTGCAGAATTTAGTAGCCTATAGTGCAAATTTTGGTAGTCTAAAGTGCAACAGACTTTAGTAGCCTATAGTGCAAATTTTGGTAGTCTAAAGTGCAACAGACTTTAGTAGCCTATAGTGTAGATTTTGGTAGTCTAAAGTGTAGCAGACTTTAGTAGCCTAAAGTGCAGATTTTGGAGGTTCAAAGTGTAGATTTTAAAGTTGGGAGAAATGCAGATTTTAAGGTTAAAGATATCACTTTCTTGAGAGTTTAAGAGTGGTATATCGATTCACAAAAATGCAGCGTTTTGAGCTCAAAAAGTATAACATTTTGAGCTCAAAAGTGTGCAGAATTTGAGCTCAAAATGTGCATGATTTGAGTGTAAAAGTGCAGGTTTTTGAGGCCCAAAACTAGGGCTGGCAGGGGGACCGGATCAGCCCGCCCCGACCCGCGACCGGTTCGAGAACCGGCTCACCGAACCTAGTCCCATAAGTTCTCGCGGGTTGGGAGGGGTTCGGGATAGGGGACCGGTTAGGGGCCGGCTCACCCTTTGGTCCCGTTCGAACCGGCCGGTTTCACGGGATCCCCTCAATTTTTTTTAATTTTTTTTGTTTTAAAATTATATCCGTTGGGGCAACGGCTAGTGCCCCCCCCCCCCCAACGGATTTATTTACCTTTTTCACTTCCCCAACACCCCCTACCACCCCCCTACTTTTAATACTTTAATTTAAACCCTCAAGTTATCA